GTAATTGCTGGCACAGTTTGATTAGGATTAATATTAGTAAAAGCTTGCTTGAGATTTTCTCCTTTAAGTACATCAATTATCTTTTCATTAAAATCATAATTAGTTAATAATAAGATAGTCTTCACAGATAAACATCGATGTGAATAAGAATTAAAATAAAGGGTTATAGACATTGATAATTAAATTTAATATTGAATAGTTCTTATACAGTGAACTTAAATAGTTAAAAATATATAATTATTTATAATGAATATTAATCATTGAGTAACGATATTAGGAGGGTAAAAAGAATTGAAAAGAATAACGAAGATTAGTTGAATAAACTAATAAGCAATATTGGATAAGAAATTTAGTAAAAGTAACAATACTAATTATAAAAATAGCATAGATGATCCATATAAATATTTGATCAAAAGAAATTATTCAATTGAAGATAGAACCAAAATAAAAAGAGAATTTGTTTAATAAAGTAGACCATAAGGAAGTATGTCAATAGCTGAAATTTGGACAAAGAAGATGAAAAAATAATGTGATAAAATATTAGAAGAGATGAAAAAGAAATAAAATAAATAAATGTAAATTCAATTATTAACATAGACTTGATTTATCAAAATAATAATCAATTGATAATAGATAAATTGAAGAATCCATATAATGTACACAATAATTCTACATATAAAGCTCCTAAAAATGCTAGTGTGATTTAATATAAAAACAAAAAGGTAGTATAGATAAAATCCATTTCATAATCCTAAATTGTTACTTAAACTCCAAAACCAATCAGAAATAGATTTGCTTCCAATTTTCATTTTGAGCCAATCTAATATTCACCAATTTAGCAATACCATCACAACAGTCAAAGTATCAGCAGTAGTATATATTGATTAAACTTAAAGTAATAATTATATCAAATTTATAGAAAGTTGAATTAACCTTAGAAAAGCCGTTTAGATATATTTGTTGAAAAATAAAGAAAAGAAGCATTAGAAGAACTTATATTTATTGAAAGAAATAAACCAAAATAGATATATTGATCTATATTTTCATATTAAATTTTCCATTTATATTATTAGTTCATTTATTATTTAACTATGGATCTCAAAAATTAAATTATTCACTAAAAATCAACATGTTATTATCATGATAATTTGATATTAATATAATTAAATGCTTAAATTTATAGTTTTTATCTAATGGCAAAATAATTATAATTTATACAGCTTAAAAAAAATAAAATAAAATTATTAAATTAATGCATGATAAGCCAATTAAAATAGATGTATAAATAAATGTAATATAAAAAATAAATGAATTCAATTGGATTGATTTTATTAATGATATGTTTGGTGGTAGGATAAGATTTTACACCATTGGATGATTTCGTTGAATAACAAATATACTAGAAGAGATTTCCAGGTGCTGTGATTGGCATACATTTAAATATGGAAGAACTGAATATGCAGGTGATCCAGAAGACTAACCTCTTTTGAAAACATCAATATTTGATTTAGCAAGTGTAAGTAAAGTAGTTGAATGTACAACAGCAGCAATGATGCTTTGGGAAAAAGGTTAAAATATATTTAAATCGATTAATAGGAAGATTAAACATTGAAGAGAGTGTTCAATACTATGTACCAGAATTTCCACATTCAACTGTTAGAATACGACATTTATTATTACATAATTCAGGTTTGCCAGCAGATGCTCCTTTAGGAAATAGAATGTGGACAAAAGAAGAAGTCTTGGATTGGTTATATACAAAAAGTACTTTATTATAAGCACCTGGAGAAAAATACATTTATAGTGATTTGAGTATGGTTACACTTCAATAAGTAATAGAAAGAATCACAGAATAAAAATTAGATGTTTATTTAGATGAAAATATTTTTAAAACTCTTTATTTGTAATCAACTATGTTCAATCCTTCCTCTGATTTAAAGTAATAATAACTTAAATTAGATATCGTATACTTCCAACATAAAGAGATGAAGTTGTTAGAAAGAGATTGATATGGGGAGAAGTACATGATCCAACAGCCTATAACTTAGGAGGAGTTTCTGGTAATGCTGGATTATTTTCTACTGTCTACGATCTTATAAAATTTATGCAAATGATGTTAGGGAAGAACTCATTATTTAAATACCAAACATTATTATAACATATCAAAATAGTAGAGCTTTAGGTTGGGATACAGTTCCTATTCAAACTTATCTAAAAATTCATTCGAACACACTGGATATATAAGCACTTCTGTTTGGGCTGATAGAGATTAAGATCTTATTGTTGTGATTTTAACTAACAAAGTCTATCCAGATGATAAAACAAGTGTTGTACAATTCAGATACCACTAATCTAATTGTGGATATCTTAAAAAAATAGCAGTTATCAATTTAATGATATTAATTTATTCCAAATAAATATTCATTTTAATATTAATAATTAAATGAACAATTCTTAACTTTGACATTTTCAAAATGTTTATTTAGAAAGTTTTAATAAAATTATACCTTTTACTTATGCTATCTAATCATTCTGTTTATAGATTAATTAAAGAATTTAAAGAATATTTTAAAAACTTTGATCAATAGCGCTCTATAAAATTTAATTAACATTATTTAATTAATTTAACCCATTTTATAGATCTTTTCATTATTAACTCTTAACTAATTTTCTTCTTAAAATTTTTTAGAAATGATTGTTAAATCTTGTTGATATTATTATTTAAAGTTCGAAGTTAATTAAGATAAGATTTAAACTTATCCAGTTGAAAATAATTTTAATTTTATAATTATAGTCAGTATTTTCTTATTTAGAAACCCCTAAGTCACTCCATAAGACTAACCCATATTTTATAGCTCATAATATTCAGACGAACAATAGTCAATTTATTCTTTAGTTGAATCAGTATAAGATTTTAATTAAACCTAAATTGTTGTCTCATTTCATACAATTAAATATTAAATATGACCTCTTAATTACAATAATTATTGTTCTTTTTCTCAAAATAGATCAATAACTGCTTTAACTTAATTCAATAATAATACAATATTTCTTTCCTTTTATTATATTGTTTCCAATAATCTATCTAACACTGATCTTATAAGAACCACTTAGAGCATAACAAAACTTTAAAAAAATAAAGAAATTCTCAAAAAAAAAAAAAAACCTTTTAATACACAAGCAATTCCCCTTTTCTGAAGGGTAACCAAACCCAAACCCAACCCCAAAAATTATTAAATCTCTGTACTTGAGGTACGGATTTCGGAAGACAAATAAAATAAAATATTTTAGATTTGATTAAATTATACATACAGAGATAGCAAATACGAGAATAAGAATTAAAATTTTTATTATAGGCTCTCCTTCTAGCATTTTTTATAAAGGTTTTGAAAAATATGACTTCATGAGGCGAAAATAATACATAATTTTCCTTATAGTTTTAATTGTATTATAAAAAAAAGAAATTCTAAAATTTGTAATTATTTTTAATCAATTCTTATTTATACTTTCTAAAAAGTAACTTCCTTTTTATATGAATAAAGTTTTCAGATCTATTCCTGATTAATTGACAAATTCTCCTTGAAGAATTAAAGCTCCTTATGCTTCAATGCTAAATTTATTCTAAATAATTAGAAAAGGATAATAAATAACTAGATAAAATATGTATATATACCACTAAATGGAAAAGGAAAGGTTTAAAATATGGGAGTTTTAAATTTTGCTAAAATTTCGTTATAACTTTAATCGGAAGGTTAAATTTATGATCCAGTTTTACATCTAATTTTGCTTTTTATTTTCCTGTTTTAACATCCCATAATATGATTGGCTCATCATAACTACCTGAAGCTAAAGTAGTTCCATCTGGTGAGAAACATACTGATCGAACATCACTAGAATGACCATCTAATTTATTAAGTTCATGAATTTTAATGTTCTTCCACTTACAATTTATAAGCAGGGCACCATTTAGATTCACTCCACTTATGTCAACATTATCGAATTTAGATCCACTAAAGTTACATCTAACAAAATTTGCACCAATCAAACTAGCATTCTTTATCCTAACATCTTCAAAGCTTTGGTTTGTCAAATCAACCTTCATATCTACTAATAAATTAAGTCCATTAGACCCACATTAAATAAATGTTTCATCTACAGTAGTGAGTTGAACTAAAAATTTTAACAATTCGACTATTTAATCATCTTTTGATATTTTTTTTAGTAGATCTTTTCTAAAAAATTCTTTATAAAGGTCTTCATTATAATTTTTATGATTAAAGTCATGATCTTAAAGTGATTTCAAAATATCCATCATTATCTTCAATTTATCTCTCATCTCCTCTTCTTAATCGACATTTGTTTTAATCATTAGTTTTAATATAGACTATGAACACCTTGAAAAATTTTCAACATCTGAAAGTATTTTAAACAGTCTTTAACATTTTCTTTTCTCAATATTTCAATTATCACCTTGTATATTTATTAGTCCAAATATTTTGATGAAGCTAACACATCATACAAATCTTCTTTCTAATCCATTCCTTTTTTTTAAAAATATTATTGAATTTCTATTACTTTTATATTAAGTTTTATATTATGAATCAAAAGTATCTTTTGAATTAAAGTTAAGACAAAAACAAAATGCGATGCAAATTAGGATTGGTCGCGATATTCTATCTTGTATTTTTTATATACCTACAAATAACTCGTCTGTATCTCACGATTTTTGTGATAGCCCTATTGTGTGTCTCAAGTAGGTCCTGTCTCTTGCTGTAGCTGGTACAGGTTCTATCTCCTTTTAGAGTGATAGATCCTTAGTTAGTTGTGAGCCATACTTTAGTCCACTCTGCGGAGGTGATAGCTGATTTGCTTTGTGGTAGTCTTGTTCTCTCTCCTAATCTTAACGAGGTGAATTTAGAATCAGTTGGACTCATCAGGAATTTCTCCGTGATAGCTGA